ACACTCAGAGTCTAGCGCTGCACTGAAACAGCCTCCCAGAGGCCAGCGCCATACACCCAGATGCAGATCATGAACAGCGAAGTAGTCCTCAGTGCCGATGAGTCACTCTGACGATGAAGAAGGCAGCTATGGCTGCCTGACTGCTACCGCAACAGCAATACCCACATGTACTCAGTGAAGACCTTCCGATAGTCCTGCCAACCGCAGATATCCCCTGGGGATAGATGCGCTGAGCACAGCCCCAGCTATGGCTGTCTCAGGTAGGCCGGCTATGGCTGCTTCACTCCGCTGATGTCGCAGGTGCCGCTGTAGACATTCAGGCTGCTCAACTTGGTTGGCCACACCCTGCCCGCGAAAAATGAAAAGCCAAAAGTCCCTACTCGATTCCCCTACAGGACTTATAGACTTCCTACACTAGCCTAGACCTAGACCGGACTGACTGGACCTACCGGTACCGCTGCTGTTTCGGCCTCTCGGCCTCTACCGGACCCGGCTATAGGCTATAGGACCGTATAGCAGTATAGGCCACTTAGGGCATGTCTGTCCTAGGGTAGCCCGGGCCTGCTATAGGCAGTTAGGGTAGCTGTAGGAACCCGGTTAGTACCAGGTCTGTAATTTTGCCGAAAATTTCAGATCTGTCCCTCACGAATTTCCACACAGGCGGATCTCTTGGTTAGCCCTCAGCCAAACAAAATTGCAAAACTAACCCTACTGGTTAGTGTACAGCCTCGCAGTCAATCACAGCAGCAGAAATCAGCAAGTCATTGCAGGTCAGTCTTGGTGGTCAGTGTCATTCTCGTGAGCCTGTCAAGTCTGCTAACTTTTTCGGGTTGGGAATCAACACCAGATTCTATAACTGAGTAGACTAGTGAATGGTCTTCAACCTTTGAACACTTTCGCGTTTATCTTGTTATGTGAAAACAAATTTCTGGAATGGGGGAAGAGAGTTCAGTCAGTGCAGGAAATTGCAAGTTGCCTGGCACTGAGCTCAATATTGGAGAAGTAGGTAAGGCTGCAGAGGCAGCTCGGTTGCAGTTGGAGCAAATGGAAAAGCAGAAGGAAGGAAGGTCGAGACAATTCAAGGAGGTGAGGAGGGAAGAACTCAGCTCCTGGGATGAAAGTTTGACTTCGATGGCGGGCAGACTATTCATCATCGAAACCAAACTTTCTTCCCTTGCATATTCCTTCAATCGTTTTGTGGCAGTTGTTAATCTATGTTTCCTCCCTTCTCCTACTTCCACTACTCCTACTCCTACTCCTACTCCTACTCCTCCTGCTACACCCCATTTCCATGCCAGGTCCTCTGCTGCTGCATCATCCCAAGCCAGTAGCCCCAAGAGCAGACCGGCTACACCTCCAAAGGTGCAGTCCCTGCAACTTGTGGCAGGGCACCCTGTGACTTCTGAGGCTAAAGTGACTGCAGGCCTAGGCCAGCAGAAATCGAGGCGCCCCAAGACAGTCCAACCTGAAACATTCACTGGGGATAATCCCAAAGTGGATGTAGCAGATTGGACTGCCTCGATGAGATGGTACCTCAAGGAACTCACTTGCCCAGACGTTACCAAGGTGCAGTCCACTGTGGCCCGTTTGGGAGGGCCTGCTTCAGTGGCCTACTTCTGAGGCCAATAAGGCCTAGAAACAACTGGCCGACTGGGCTGTTACAATAGGATTGGATCACATATTTAAGGGTTTGGAGGAGAGGTTCGTCAATCAAGAAAGAGGCAAAAAAGCTGTTGCAGAGCTTGTGAGGATAGGCCAGTCACAGTGGCAGCGATCCCTCTCCAAGCTCTACGCAGTTTGGGAAAGGCTAACCCCTACACCTGGGTTATCCATGTCAGACCAGGACAAGTTGCAGTTGTTTTTCCAGGCTACCCCGATAACTTACGTACAGGCCCTATTTTCTGCAGGTCACAAGGACTGGAAGGCCTTTGGCAGAGCAGCCTTGGATCTGGAGGGCAACTCCAAATCCAGTCCACTTCCCAGGCGGGAAGCACCTCCCCTTCTCAGAGTCAGAGGAAGAGCAAAGGGAGGTGGCACACGATGGAGTCTGTGGAAGACTCTGCAGGCTTTGACCAGAGAGGATTGACTCTCTCAGCTAGTCAAGGTGCAGGAGGCTTCCCAGACCAGGCTATTCTGACTTTGGCTCAGGAACTGGTAAGCCCACTGAATGGTGCAAATCAGCTCCAGAGACAAAGGTCCCCCTCTCCTAAGGGGTTTGGCAAACACCCCAGTAGGCCGCAGAAACAGAACCTGCCTAAGTTCGCTAAATGTCCAGCTAACCCCATGGATCCTTCCACCCTCCCATGAAGGGATTTGCACATCTCAGATGGGCTGTGGCAAAAGAGGAAGGATGCTGGTGTCTGCCTCAGATGTGCAGGGCAGCACTTTGTTGAGTGATGCCCATCTTGGGGCCACCACCACTCTGGAACCTGAAGCAGTCAGTAGTAGACCCTGTTGACTTAGTCCTCTGTCGATGAAAGCAGGGTCAGATTCCAACATGTTTTGTTTGTTGATGGTGCTTGTGTGATCAGCCACATTGGGCCTGATCCCTTAGCTGATCACCTTGACTTGCATGTACATCACCTGTGCTTGAGGAAGAATTCGCTAAGTTCCGGGCGGATTTCATTTCTCAAACACCGTTGATAGACAGACTGTTAATTGGACTGAATTCATCTTCTCTTAACGATGAATCAGCCCCAAGATCGCTTTCAGTCTAACAAGAATTCCATTGTAAGTTTACGTTGAATCCTTGTCTGACGACCCCCTTGTACTTCCTGTGAGTGGCATTCACTATCTGATCACGTTCATGTTTTCACACTGAACTGCACTCACTGTTTGGATGACTTGTGTTGAGAGAAAGTATGACCAGTGCAGATCCTACATAATATTCTCACACACAGTCCGGATTGACTGCTCTCACAGGTAGACGTCACATATCCTCTATGCTTCTTGATGGTTGCATACTTGCATCTCTAGTGTTATGAACCTTACCTGGAGAGCTATTGACTCCTGTATCAACTGGGCTCTGTCCCAACATTGCCCCAAAATGTTTGATCAGAGTGGAACTCTGTCTGTGACTAAACCCTACTCAGATAGACCTACCCTACACATGATCCTCTGTCAGCTCAAGCGTTATTGTTGAATATGGTGAGGCTTAGCCCCATATACAGATCTTGTCAGATCCTACCCTATTCTTGGGAAGAATCTGCGTATTACGCTTGCAAACACACAGATCAGCAGTTGAGGCGTCTAACTGATACCCAGTCCTGACAGAAATTAATCATATTTTCAGAATTAATGCATTACAACAAAGTTGATTACTAGGCTAACACCCTTGCATTCAACTAGATGGTCCATGCTGTTAATCTAAACCTCGATCATCTGATTTTCAGGATGTTGTTAGCTATCTATACGCTGATTACCAGGCTAATACCCTTGCATTCAGCTTATAATCTGAGCTACAACCCATAGATTTTCAGAAGCTGATTGGTTGCCTAAAAGTTGATTACCTGGCTAATACCCTCACATTCAACTAATCAATCTAATCTGATAATCTCACCATAACCCTCTGAGATTCTGAGGTCTTTGCATTCTCCACCACTATGGACGTTTTTAGCGATCCTCTAGCTAATACCTCTCCGCCAAAACGGCTGGTAGTTGGTTATGTAGCTCGTGGGTCCTCGCTCCCCGGGAGGGTAAGAATGCAATAAATCGCAGTTTCCCAGTGGGGCTGTACACTAAGTGTCTGGCTTTGTAGTTTGTTTTCTTGTTTTTAGCCTTGCGGGACTTGATCCCGTGACCTGTAATTTGTATGTGTTTTGTTTGTTAGTTTTGAGTCCTACGGGACTTGATCAATGAGTCTGTCACTAGCAGTCTCTTTTTGGTAGCCTTAGGCCATTCAGCCTTTTCCTTTTGCTTTGTCATAGGTCTAGGTCCCCTTTTCCCCCTGTTTCCGTCTAGATGCAGATGAGTATCGGGTTGTTGCCTTTGGAGTCCGTCGTAGGTCTAGGCAGAGGGTAGAAGTAGCCGGCAGGAAATTTGGTTTGGGTCTTTTCACGTTTTGTTGGCTGGGGAAACTCTGCCCGTCCGTTGGTGGAGCGCTGCTGGTCTATTTTGGGCGAGTGCATCTACTTCCTCGAAGCCAGCCATTGCTGGGGATGGGAAATTAAGTTGAAGATCGCACTGCTGCTATTTCGCAGCTCTGCATGCGAGCTTCCACTTGGCAGCCATATCTGTTGCTCCTCCTCTCGAGGAACTTTGTCTTCTTCAAAGTGCTGGATCGGTTGTCTCCTTCTTCATCAGGACTTCCAGCGCTGCACCTCTGTGCAGGTTCTGAGCTGGCGCTATTATCATTAGGGTTACTGGTTCAGATTGGCACGTTGTGACAGCTGTGGGGTTACTGCTGCTACGGCAGCCATAGCCAGGGGTATGAGGTGGCGAGGAGGAGGAAGATGTGGCATACTGTGCAGCCACACGGGCCTTGCAGGGCCCGTCCCGGACCTCCAGCCTGTTTCCCTACAGGGAAACTTCCAGGCTCTTGCCTGGAAGCTTCCTTCTGGCAGGGCCTACAGGCCCCAGCCTGTTTCCCTACAGGGAAACTTCCAGGCT